GGGATGGTTCCCAGGGCAGACACTGCAGTGCCACAGAGAACCCAGTGAAGAACAAACCCCAGGAGCGGGCCCTTGGCTGCAGCCGCAGCTCCTCCCGTGCTGTGCCTGCCAACACCTCCTGTCTGTGCTGCCCACACTGCCTGTGCTGCAGCTGAGAACACTTTGCATATTTGTGACTTCCTTAGTTAGGAGCATAGCCAGTTATGGTCTCATTCTACTCATTACTCTATGTCATAACCCAAATCTACATTCTAGTTTGCAGAAGTTACACATTGTCTTTAAAAACTAAAAATGTAATTAAAAAAAAGTAAAAACAAAGGCTTCTTAAAAAAAAACTAAATTGCTGCAGTTATTTCAGATTTTAGGGTTGTGTTGATTCTTTTTTAAATTCTTTGCTTTTATGGTGCAAATTAATTAAGACTTAATTGATCAAGTCAGATGTAATCTGACACCTAACAAATAAGAAATTGTTTTATTGCTGGGAGAAGGGAGTGGAAAGTCTTTAAACACATCATTGGCAAAGTATATTTAGACTATCAACCATCATCAGCTGCATTTTGGCTCCAAGCTTTGAAAACACCCTTTCAAACTACAGTTTTTATTTTAATCATACAACTAGGGCCATATTTTCCCCGTTCAAGTGATCTGTAAACTAACACAGGCTCTTTTTATTTCAAATAAAGTCCAGTAATTTTGGATATCCAACCTGTTACTCTTAACACTACCAGGTGTACTTGTTCTTTTCAAGTAGTAAAAAAATCTGTATCCTGTGCTCTCAAATAACTAAGCCTGGCAGGAGACAAAAAGCAAAACAAAAACAGCATTACTGGCCTAATCCTATGGCATTAGGAACATTGCTCATCACTTTCCTGTATTTGTCACCAAAGTGTCTTATCAGTGCATATTATTATGTGCTGAAATGCAACAAAACTTTTCACAAAAATAGTTTTAGGCATGTTCATACAAGAAGATGTACATATATTTCTTTTATATATACATATATATGAATGTGTATATATATAATATCGGCTTCAACCTGTACATAGAATTTCTGAATTTCATACTTAAAATACATCCATTTCAAACAACATGGATGGCTTTCCAGGAAAAAGTGCTTGATTGATTTTATCCTGTGTGAACATGCCTGTGCTCTGTGCATTTGCCAAGTAAGAGACCTTTATGATCGATCCTTTAAACGTACATATCTCAGAGGTATTAAAAAAGGAAAAATACCTAACCAAAGAAAAAGAAACTAGGAAAAAGTAATATTGCCCTGATGATGCAAAAAGAACAATGCATAACTGAAGCAGCTTGGATTTTAAAAGTTATCTTGCATTCTGCAGCAAACAATTTTTAAATAATTGTTGAGAATCTAGTTCCTCCGTTTGTGTTATTGCTCCCCACTTGCATTTTCTCCTCACACATCAACAGTGCAGAGAGGTTCACTCCCAGGCTGAGCCGACTCCACTATTGTCATCTTGGGTTTCTTTCGTGTTTCCTCCTACAAAAATACGAAACAGCCCCCACCACACAGTCATAAAGAGAAGGTAATCATAAACACCAATCCAATTTTGTACAATTTTAGCCAAACCTCTGTCAATTGGTGTGAAAGGTTAACTTGGGCTGATGTTGAAAATAAATTTACTGAAGTAGGTACAATTAAGTTATAAGACAGTTTAAAAGAGAGGATGAAAATCTCTCTAGAAGTAGCTCCCCAGTCAAGTTTTGAAGAGCTCAGATTTTGAGATACCGGGTAAAACAACCTGACCATTGGCACAGGTGAACTGTGGCACTTGTGCTGTTTGTAAATCCACAAGAACATTTACTCACTCTTTCCTGTGCCAGTTTTTTCATTTCTTCCTGTAACTTGTTCAGGATGTGCAGATTTGGCTTGTTCTTTTTGGCATACTGCTGAAGCTCTATCACACTTCTATCAGAGGTTTCCTATTCAACAGAACCACAAGCAACAACTGATGAAAATAATGTACATGAAGCAATAGTTGTACTTCCTTAAGTAGTAACATCTATTTCCACAAGTCAGGTCAATGTTAAATATGTAACAGGTTATATAATTTTGATCTGGAAGATGCAAGATTAACAGTGATTACTGTCAGTGCAATCACTCCTCTCGTGTTCTGGCAACAGCAAGGTACAGGATCCCTTCTGAACTGAGAACTGCTCCCCAAAGGGGCACTGCCTTCACCAGCAGGGACCAGCATGCCAAAACAGACAGCCTAAAGCTTTGCTGGGGCTAAATTTAAACCCCCAGAAAGACCCAAAGGCAAAACTCCAGTCCCAGGGTAGGTTATGACCAACACAAGAGCACAGTCACCTGTTTAACCAGCTTGCTGTTCTCCCTCCCGTACATCCGCAAGAGAGAGCCCCAGTTCTTCACGTGGGGGTGCAGGAGCTGCAGGATTTTCTGGGAAGCCAATTGCTTCCCCACTCTCTTATTTTTGCCTGTAAAAACAGTCATGGCAGTGTGTCAGTCCTGGACCATCATGTAGTGATATGAACACAAACATTGCCTTGTGTCAGTCAGAACTGGGACAGCAGAGCAGAGGGACATTCCCCAGCTGAGCCAGCACCCCAAACATTGCCTTGTGTCAGTCA